AGACATGAATAATAAATAAATGAGTTTTAGTCCGTGCGATTTGCGTCGATGTGCCAAGTTCAAGTGGGTCGTCAGTAGGATGACAGTAATATCAATGAAATAATGCATGTTTTTTTTCCGTGGTTTGATGGAAACTTTAAAGCATTTAATAAGTGTGTGAGAATACACACTTGTTGACAGAAAGCACTTGTCGAATAAATACAATGGGGCGTGGGCGGCTTCAGTTGTTGAAAGAGAATAATTATCAACTGGATACAATGGAGTATGGTAAGTTCAACTCGTTAACAGAAAATAATGTTGTCACAAAAATATGTAGGACCTTGATTGAATACAATGATCGGCGAAAAATATATATTGAACGCAATGAAGCGTAATCAAGTCACCCACTGTCGTTGTTTAGAGTACATGTATGTTGCTTTTTGACGTTTTACTTCAAGTGTGTCAAAATAATATTTTTTGTTTATATACACTGTACTAATCGGGCTCTGGCAAAACAAAGCATTTCATTACAAAAAGGGCATACATAAAAAACCGCAATGTGGAACGATTGTTTCCCGTTGTGGTAGGTTCACTACCAAAAGTAAATTATGTGTGATAAATATTCATGTATATAAACTGTATTCAAAAACACCTCGCGTTATTTTTACTGCAACAATTGGAGTTTAATGTTTATTCCTAAAGTTTGATGAGTCGTCAGTCACTTCATGCAAAATTTTGCAGGCGAAGTGCGGGCAGAGATTGACAGCACATCGCGTTTGTTATTGTTGTGCTGTTTAGAATTAGTTTTTTTCAGCATTTAACCGATTGCCACTTTAACCTTTTGTGAAGGCGTCAACTGTTGACAAACAATAAAGACTCATAGCGGCTTCATCAATAATGTGCATACTGGTCCAAGATAAATGCTGTCAGTCTTGTCGTTTCGCGACCTCAGACCACAATGCGTTTAATACCACACATGGGATCAGTTTTATCTCTTATTTTTTCCCGAACATGACACCTATCTACGTTCTGAATGTGTAACAGGGCCACCATAAAATTGCATTCCAATGATTCGTTTCTGACATAAAAATGACATTCAACCACAGTCACTTTAACGCAAAATAAGACTGTTAGTGAGAACATGGATGTACTAACAAATATCACTGTTACCTAAAATCAGAGCATTGTACCGTCCGCTGTACATAAAACTCAAACAAAGGTCAATTTGATATTTCGAATGAACCGACGATATGACGCTGTTTACAGTAATTTTGTATTTTTCTCGGTTAAAAAACAGGGATTACGGAAACTAGAGTACAAAGATCTCGAGTGAAGGTTTGTTTTTTCCACAAACAATCTCAGACAAGTCCGCTTTAAATCCTCGCAACAAGAAAATATGCTGCTAAGACATTAGAGGCGAGGACTTATTTTTATTATTCACACAGTTCTAGCGACCCGACTCGCTCGCAACTGATACGTTTAGTCACCGTCCCTCAACACATGAGGGACGGTGGTTTAGTTAGTGTACGTACCACACACGCACAAATAGCATCGTAGACATTCAGAAATTCGATACATTTCAACACATGTACATGTAACTTGAAAACAAGTGGCTAGGATGTTGCTAGCACTCGCAACTACATACAAATCGCCACTAGCAACTGCTATTTTTAGCGCTAGCAACTGCCATTTTCGAGCACTAGCAACTGCCACTTTCGAGCGCTCGCAACTGACACATTTTTCTACTTTTGACTCGCAACTCACCACTCGCAACTGCCGTATTTATGCAACCTTACATACCTCAAATCTTACTTAATAATGTGAGATGTGAAATAAAAAAAAAAACTAATTTTTATCATCAATAATTAGCGATCCGCTCAGCTAGGATTGCCATTTAGTGTGTGTGTGTCTGTGTGTAATTTCCAGTGTCTTCACGTATTAATTCCTCTGTGTGATTTTTTTGGCTTGGCTGATTTCACTCAAACTTGGCAGGCAGGTACACCTTCACTCTAGCTTTGTGCCAAATGCATTTCCTCTTCGGAATTTAGGATTAAACACCTTGGGACATGGCTCATTGTACTCTATTCTTGAGTATGGCACAAAGTTAGTACATTACCGAGAAATTTGACCCCAAAGTTAGGGGTTGTTCACCAGGAATTGCTTTTTAACTCTTCTGTGATTTCTTTGGCTTGGTCAATTTTGTTCATACTTGGCAGGCTGGTCATACTGTCACTAATCGGAAAAAAATCCTGGCCTTCTACTACTATGGCAACAGCCTAAAAACTCTTTTGAAATTGATAGACAATCTTTATTTCTAGAACGTAACATTACTAATAAAATCGCAGACAAGCAAAATGCAGATGTTTTTCTTAAAATAATGAAGCATGACCTTGCCCTCTCCAAATTTTTGAAAAATACATTATTCAATGGACATACTTAATTGAGTACTTAATATAAATACACATCTAACCCATGAGAGAACCAATGTTTTTTCTATGCAATGTCAGTTTTAGTATTTTATACTTTTTTTTTTTTTGTCCTCTTAATGTTTTACTTTTATTTAGTTAGTTTTATTATTTTTTTCTTTTGTTATTTGTACCATACTACACACTCTGATGGTTTTGGTTGTGTAATAAAGTTACTGTTATTATTGTTACACTGTATCAACGTAATCCCAAAGAAGCTTTGAACTTTAAATGAACTGTAAATGCTGCGTTTGATCAAGAAATCTAGAAAATACAATCGCAAAACGATCGAAAATAGTAATTATAATAGCAGAATATGTGCTAGTAAAGTGACTTCTAAAGACTGAACTTTGTGTACAGGGGTTAGCTTCAAGTTCTATGTCCTACCATGGCAACAGCCGAAAACATGTTGTTCGTTTTTTTGAGTGGAGCGGAGTGGATCACCAACCAGCCTACCGGCTTGTATGAGGTTTTTACTCCCACTGTACTGTCTTTGTGCATACTTTGCGATATCATTATAATAACCTTATTATACATCTTTTACCCCCAAAGATACATCATGGGAATGCAAAAATCCAAAAAGTTTAGAACAGTTTTATCTAACTTCTTTGTGTGTGATTAAAGTCAGCTTATTTTATTTTACAAGATCAGTCAAAGCATGTCAAAGATGCAGCTCTAACATAGCATTTATTAAAACAAAATGGCGACTTTGAATCTGATTTGGGGAAAAAACATGTATGCATAAATTCCTGCAAAAATATTTCACAGTACTTTTAAGTTTCATTGAAATGCACTGATCAGTTCTTAGGAAATTAATGATGGCTAATTATTATGTAAATAAAGTAATTAGTGACCACAGACTTCAACCAAAAGCTAATCAGGTGTGGACATTGCCCAAGAGCTTCATTAAAATGCTGCAATGATTAATTCTTGATATACAGAGCGATGAAAATTGATGAATTATTATGAATGGATGAATTACTGATGAGTCCCGAAGTATTTACCCATTACATGCCACAGCAGTGGGTCTGTTTAATTCTACATAACTATTATAGAAAAATGCCTGAAATAGATGTTTAATAATAACATCTGTCACAAATTTTACAAAGTACATCACAACCAATCACTAATTAACAGAAAAAATATGAATGCTGTTTATCATCCTGTGAAAGGTGACCACATATTTTGGTCAATGACAATACATTTTATGACCTAGTTTTGTATACACACACATTTATTTGTTCTGTAACAGCAAGTGATATGATCAAAAATTAATTCTGTAAGTGAACTTGATCTACTGTAAAATGACCAATATTCACTGGGTTTAAATTTTGCTGATTTACCATTTCAGACATATTCAGTGGGTTTTAAATTCACAGTTTTATCATTTAGATAATGTGTTTTATGCTAAATTTTACATATTCACTGGGTTTTAATTTAGCGCATTTTCCAGTCAGCGAAATAAGCAAAATTAAAACCCAATGAATAATTAACTGCTTTACAGTAGTTTTTTAATTACAAGGTAGTATCTTGCCAGCTTATACATACAAAGACAATATACACATAGTACAGTAATAACTCAGACAAGCGTGACACACTAGACGCATCATGAACAGTATAGTGTTTATCACAAGGTGTGGTATCCAAAATCTGGTGGTTTCTAAATCAAGAGA